TTTCAAAGAATTAAAAGATTATTAGAAAATTAACTTAAGATTTCTGTTTATCTCTCAGACACTGCTACAAGTACGTACATTTGTTGAAATATTTGTACTTGCAGATAAATATTTATTCTTTTAGAATAAATATTTTTTAAATTAATAAATATTTAGTCTCGTTACTAGATAAAATATAATTTTAGATTTTAACATTAAATTTAATTATTTGTTTCAGTAAAATACTCTATTATCAATAAAATCCTAATTTAAATTCTCAAGTCTAAGCCTTGAATCTTGCTTCAATTTTTTTAAATCTTCAGCTAAAATTTTCTTTAGTAATAAATAATTTAAAATAAATTAACCAACACTTTTAATTTAAATAATTTGTCCTTTTGTTTACATTTTTTGTTGAAGAATTTTTAAAAATTTTCAAAAAAAAATAAAAAAATAATTGTTTCAAAAAAAAATGGTTTTAATTACCCAAGTTGAGATAAAATTATTTAAATACGCCGAAATGGCACCAGCAAAATCTGAATTACAACAAATAATCGATAAATTGGCTGCCTTAGAATTAAAAATCGATAACAACAACACAAAATTTTCTTCATTTTCTAATGAAATTCTTCAAATTAAAAATGCCTTAACAACTATTGAATCTAAAATTCAAACAATTGAAACAACAATAGAAACAAATTTTAAAAACAACGAGTCAGCAGCAAGCGAACAAGAACGCAACCGTTCAATTGTTATGATTGGTCTACAAGAATCTAAATCAACAACACCATCAATTCGTGTTGTTGAAGATAAAGCAGCAATTGAAGATGTACTCAACTTGTTGGGGGTTGAGAGCCCATTCATTTCGTATAGAATGGGTAAGTATGACCCAACTGCTAAAGGTTGTCGTTTAGTTAAAATTGTCTTTGGGGCTTCAAAATTTCAGCGAATTTCTCTTGCTGAATGGAAACGACACAGAGTGGAAATGAAAAAAGAAAATAAATGGTCTCGTTTGTTGCTCAGGCCAAGTCTTACTCGAGAACAATTGGAAGCTGAAAAAAATGAACGTGCTAAGAAACGAGATGAATACAATAAAAAGATGAGTGTCAATGTGACAGAAAGAACAAAAAACCATTAAATGGTCGTCCAAGATTCAAGGTTTTAAAAAATTTTTTAAAGAGTTCCCCTTTTTATAAATGTCTTTATTTTAATAGCCGGAGCTTAGTTAACAAATTAGATTCCTTAAGATTACTTTTAATTTCCAAATTCTTTAAAATAATCTGTATTTCCGAATCGTGGTTGAACAAAAAAATCGATAACTCCCAAATTTTACATACCACATCTTATTCCATTATTAGATGCGATAGAGGTTCTAGGGGCGGTGGTGCTTGTATTTTAGTAGACAATATAATTCCTTTCTCTCCCGTTAAAATCCCTAAAAATAAAAATTCCGACATTGTAGCTATAGACATATTTTCTCCCAAATTCGACAAATTTCGAATAATAACTGTTTACCGTCCTACCACAAACGAAAACTTTAATGACTTCCAAGAATTTCTTGAGACATTAAGTTACTTAATATCCATTAATCATAACTACATAATTGTAGGTGATTTTAATTTCCCCAACCTAGTCTGGCAGACAAATATACCTATAGCTCTCAACCACAAATCACCGTCTGAAAAATTATTTATCGAATTTGTAGAAAACTATAACCTATTTCAAGAAATCTCTTCCCCAACCAGAAAAGATAATTATCTTGATTTACTTTTTTCCTCTTCTGCCTCTCGCGTTGCAAAAAATATTATCATTAACGCCCCCTTCAAAAATTCTGATCATAACACTATTGAATTTAGTTTAAATTTCAAATATTTCCCAAAAGAACCAGAATTCATCCTTGACTTCCACAATGCCGATTACAATCATATTAACAATATCCTAATTGGTTTAAACTGGAATACTTTGTTTTTAAATTGCACTGATGTAGATTCCCAATACACCTTATTTTTAGAAATCATTCATCAAATAATCCAAAACTTCATACCATTAAAAAAGATCAATAAAGATTGTTCTAAATTCCCTAATCATATTCAAAAAATGATCTCATATAAAAATCTTTTATGGAAAAATATTAATAAACCTGCTATCCGTGAAAAATACATTCTCACGCAACAAAAAATCGATAAAGAAATTTCTCGTTTCTTTAAAAACAGAGAAATCTCGAAATTCAACGATCTACGATCTAGATTTCAGTATATAGGGGCCTTCCTTAAATCCAAAAAAACTAAAATCCCAATCTTCAACATCAACGATCAATTTACCATTTCAGACAAAGATAAAGCCGAATGTCTGGCAAAACAATTTCAATCTGTTTTTAACTCTTCTAACTTTGACTCCTCTGACATAAAAACTTCTAACAAAAATAATTTATCTTTTATTGATATCAATCCAGAGGAAATCTACAGCATCATAAACAAACTTGACAATGTTAATAACATATCCCCAGACGGAATCCCCAACATTTTCTTAAAAAATACAGCAATCTCATTAACCACTCCACTAACAATTATATTCAATATGTCAATTATGACAAGTAAAATTCCAACCATTTGGAAAAAGTCAATAATCCGCCCTATTCCTAAAAATAGTAACCCTAATGAACCTAAAGATTTTCGACCTATTTCTCTTCTATGCCCAACTTCTAAAATTCTAGAACGAATTATCTCTAATAAATTAACCTCATTTCTTGAAACTAACAATTACCTTCCCACTTGCCAACATGGTTTCCGTAAAAACCATTCAGTTATAACTCAACTCCTAGAAACCTATAACGACTACACATTAGCTATTGAAAATAAGAAATGTGTTGACGTTATATTCTTCGACCTTGCAAAAGCGTTTGATACTGTTCCCCACGATCGCCTTCTGAAAAAACTCTATCATCTAGGTATCACTGGCACCTTACTAAATTGGATTAAGGACTATCTGTTAAATCGAACATTTACAGTTCTTGTCGAATCAAAAAATTCTAATGAATATCCTATAACAAGCGGAGTCCCTCAAGGGTCCATCCTAGGCCCAATCTTATTCATCTCATATATTTCGGATATAATTGATTTTTGTAAAACAGACAAAGTTACTCCAAAACTATTTGCTGACGATTTAAAGGCCTATACCTGCTTTGACTTCCTAAACAAAAATCACTACTCTCCACTCCAAACATTTATCCAAACATTCTCAAAATACTGCGAAATAAATGGCCTTAAAATCGCTGTCAGCAAATGCAGTTCATTTCACATAGGGACTAAAAATCCCTTCCACCAATATTCTCTACAAAACATTAATATACCAACCATTCCACCCAACGAACCTATTCGCGATCTTGGCATTTATTTTACATCCAACTTAAAATGGGATTCTCACATTAAAATCACAACAAATAAAGCAACTAGAATTTATTATACTCTTATAAGATCTCTTAAAACTAACAATACTCAATTCCTAATTACTCTATTCAAAATATATGTCTTACCTATCCTCGAATTTGGATCTCCTATAATTAACCCTTATTTAAATAAAGACATAAACGCTTTAGAAAATGTGCAACATAAATTCTTAAAAATAATATACTTACGCTCTATGAAACACAATAACAGCCCAATATTACCTAATTATAAAGAACTCCTTGACATATTCAAACTTGAATCTCTATCGCATAGACGTTTAAAATCAAATCTCATCCTTTTCCATAATATTATTTTAGGTAAAATTAATCTAAAACACGATAATACATATAGCATCCTACCCACCACTACCAGAGGTAATCCGCATAATTTATTTATACCCTTTTGTTCAAGCACCATTCGGAAAAATTCATTTTTTATAGACATACCAAACATTTACAAAAAACTTCCAATAGAATTACAAAAATCGTCAATCGAATTGTTTCCAAAGCTCCTAAACAATATTAACCTAAACAATATTTTATCAAAGTCAAATTCCACTCTATTGTCTCCAGACCTTATACAAAACTTTTGATTTAAATTATATTTACATTTCATTTTATTTTTATCTGAATGTCACGTTTTTACGTATAAATTGAATTGAATTGAATTGAATTGTTAGTCACCCTAATAGTCATGAATTATCCATTTTTCAATTAAAATTAAAAAATTTCAAAAAGCTAGCCGACCATAAATTAATTTCATATTATTTACAATTTTAAGAAAATAAGTAAAAAACACAAATAATAAGCCTTCTAAAAGCTATATATTAAATTCAAAATTTATTTTATTTAAAAAATTGCATAATTAGCGGAAAATGTAAATAAAATACTATCCATTTATTTTTTACTTCAATTTTTCAAAAACAGCTCATCTTCCATTACTCAAAGCTCATAAAAAATTTTTTTTATTATTTTCTCAATAATTTTTTTCCATTCCATTTATTTTTCTAAATTTTTTGCCAAATTTTCTGATAAAATTTAGGACAGGGGAAGGGGGTAGATGATATTATCCCTTTTAATTCTTTCCATTTTCCTTAGTTTTTGTTAAATTTTTTCTTCTTAGAATGGTTAATTCATAATGGATACTTTAATAAAAAAAATTTTTTTTGAAATTCCACTTATCATAGTATGTTAAAGCTTAAAAAATGTTAATCTATTATGTTAAATTAGTAAATATATTTATGAGAGCAGGCCAATGTCCCACGAGCCCAATGTACCGCCGAACTATAACTTGTGTAGGGTTTTTTTCCCTAATATTTATAGAAATCCTAGTTCTAAGTTCAATTAATTCAAAATCCAATAAAATTTATTTCGCGAGAGAAAAAACAATTAATTTAAGAGAAGGAGAATATATAATTTATAATAATATTATTGAAGAGTGATTAAAGGGAAGGGAAACAATATATTTATAGTTATTGTTTTTGGAGGAAATGTATTTCAAAATATGTGTGTGGGAAATTTTAGTAGTGATTAATATATTTCATAATTTTAATAAGTTATTTAAAATAATTAATTGGAGTTAATTCGCAGGATGCGACAGTCCCGCGGCGAAAATTGGATGAATTGGTTGGACATTAAATAGGGGGAGAAGATTGTTAGGCAAATAAACAATGGGGACCATGGTGTTAGTAACAATAGTATTTTGTGGTGGAGCTTGGGTTCTCGGAACTGAAAATTGATTTTGATTGTTTTGGGTGGGCCAGTTGGGGTTTAAATTGTTATAATTAGTTATAATATGGGGCTTTCGCCCAACAACAGGGGGGACCGTAAATTTTAATGAGTTTAATGGGGGAATGTGTGAAATGTTTCTTTTCATAAATTTCTTATTCTTATTCTTTCGCAATTTGGCCAATTGATTTTTTGAAATGGTTGATGCTGGGAGACGTTCAACAAAGCCAGAAGGGAGCACACGTACACGGCTGATTGGGAACTTGATGGGAGAGCTGGGTGGAGGCGGTGGGGGATCCAAAATCATTTTCAGTTCCGGAGACGCAAGCGATTGTGGTGGTTGAATTGGCAGTGGGATTTCATCCACAGGCATGTTGGTTGGTGGGGGTGTTGGTGATGGAGGAAGGATTGGTGGATGGGCAGTTGGTTTAGCAGTAATTGATATTTCTGAAAATTTAGAAGAAATTTCAGCGGTGGGGGCCGCCTGAAGTGAGGATTCGGTAGTTGCCACCAAATTAGTATTTATAGACATTGGTTCGGGAGAAGAATTAGATGAATTATTATTAATAGTAAAGTTTAAATATTTTCGTAATTTATAAATTTCGTTTTGGGGAATAGGGGTTCGAATATTTTTCGTTTTCATCTAAATTTATTTTATATTATTGAGAGGTAGGAGGGCGGGGAGGGTCGCTACGGAGTATTAATTCTTCTAAATTATTTCTAATTTCCGACATTTCTATCGGTTGATCAATTTGAGGGGATTGGGGCCGAGAAAAATATTTATACAGTAAGGTAGCTATTTTTAAAATAAGGAGTATAAATAAGGAAACAAAACAGCCTAAAAGGGAGAATATGGCTGCCGATGATTCTGGGTGTTCTTGAATAAATGAGGAGAGTGATTCCATACCGAAGTAGAGGGCCGAGCTAGCCAGAATTGGTAGCGAAAGTTTTGCGGTTGGTTTTCCAACCGTTTTAAAGGCTTTACTTATTGTGTATTTTCCTTTTCTTTTTGGAAATGGGAGGGCAGGGGGTGGTAGGAATAAAATGAGGAAAAATATTATACAAATTGAAGACAATTCAAATTGTTTTATTAATGTTTTAACGGGCCTAGTATTTGTTGTATGCGGGGAAAGGCCTTTGGATTTTTTATTAGTTTGCCTATGGGTCGGTTTATGGAAGAGTTTTAAATGTTTGTACACATAATTTATTGTTAAGCCTATTAATACAAGAAGGATTAGGAAAAATGAGTAATATGCCCAATTTGGGCCTTCAGGTTTAGTTGGTTGGAAATAAGCGGAAAAATCCAAAGAAAAAATATTAATAGAAATTATGTTTCCCATAATTAATTCAAGAAATTTATTATTAAAAAAATGACAATTAAATTGAAAAGTTGAGAGATTTTATATGCTTTAAAAACATAAATCTCTCCTCCCATTTTAACATAAATAAAAATTAAAGATTTAAAAAATTTTTAATAAAAAAATCCTGGGAAAGTGTTAGAAATTGTTTGTATTTGTGTTTATTGGGAAAGTGTTGTTGTAATTTCTTTATTTTCTTTTGTGGGATTAGCTGGGAGATTTATTCTGTTATTAATTTCATCTGTTGTTTCTAAAGGACAGAGGTGACTAATTGAGCGATTTGTTCTTCGGCCGGATGAGAAACGAATGGTTGCGATATCGGGAATGTTATCTTTATTACACTGTATTTTCTCAATTATTGCTGTTCTCCAAACGGAGACGGGGGAATTTTCAACAACGATGACAAGTTCCCCTGGGATGGGGCTCCGGCTTGAATTATTTGTCAACTTTTTATGCCTTTCCCGGAGTGATAATATATATTCTTGGGCCCATTGTTTCCAAAATTTTTGGCTTGTTTTTGTTAAAGTTTTCCATAATTTTTGAAGGGAAATTGTGTTACTGTTTATTTCGAGAGGGTGGGGTTGTGGGCATAAGTTGGAGATTGGGGAAATATTTTTGTTTAGGGGACGTATAAAATCAATTGGACGTAATGGCCGTATTTCATTTGGGTCGGTTGAATCGAAGGTTATTGGCCGGTGGTTTATAATATTTTCAATTTCTCCGATTATTGTTAGCGCTTCTTCAAAGGTAAAAATTTTTGGAATAATTCCGGTTGATAGGGTGCGGCGGAGATGAAATTTTATTAGACCCACAAATCTTTCATAGTGACCTCCTCTCCAAGCCGCATATGGTACTCGGAGGTTCCAAGTTGGTGGGTAAGTTTTTAGGGAATTTTTAAACGAGACAAATGTTGGAGCGCTATCGGAATAAATGACTGTGGGAGGGCTAAATTTGGCAGAAAATCTACGATAAGCCAGTAAAAATTGTTGGGCGGATTGATTTGGGACTAAGTCTAAGCATATTCCACGGGTTGTTAGACAAACCCACAAAAGAATGTAAAATTTTTGATTATTTGTATCAGCATATTTTAATCGTAGTGGTCCGCAATAATCTAACCCTATGGCGGAAAATGGACGGGATGGTGTCACTCTGTCTTCTGGGAGTTGTGGAAATGGTGGGCGGTTAAATGGCACGGAATTAAATCTGCGACAGGGTAGACAACTTAAATAAAGAGTGTGTTGTACAACCCGTCTGCCACGTGGTATCCAAAATTCTCTTCTAATCATTGAAAGTACTGAGAGGGGGCTGGCATGATGATTTAAGATATGGATTTCATAAATTAGTAATTTTGTGAGATGAGAGTTGGCTGGAAGGTATAATGGCAATATAGTATTTTGTGGGAGATTACTATTTCCTAACCTGCCATTTGCTCTCATTAAATTATTTTCATCGTTAAATAAGCCTAATGAATTTTTTTCTTGTTCTGATGGAGGGTAATACTCTTGTTCTTTTTTAATGAGAATTTTCAAAGCCGAGCGTAGTTCTCGGATGGATATGTTTAAAGTCTTAATTCTTGGGTATTTTTTCAAAAATGGGGAAATTGAAGGGTGTCCATTATAAGCAATAAATCTCAAAACATACGCAGTAACACGAAGGAGTTTTGGCAAACGAGAAAATTTATTTATTTCCATTAGGGGCGTCGGTTTTGTTTGTGTAGAGTGGAATGTCATTATCGGTTGTGTTTCTGTTGTTTCTAGTACTGGTTTGTAATCATTCGATGAGAATGTTTGAATTTCGGCATTTTCTTTTGGCCAGGAACTTGTTGCACACGACAACCAAATTGGTCCATGTAGCCATAAATCATTTTTAAACAATTCACTTGGTTTTGTGATTCCGCGTGTGCCCAGGTCTGAGGGGTTTTGACTTCCTGGTATGTGGCGGACTTTTAAATTGGGTGTGGCTTTTATCGGTTTAATTCTATTGTAAATAAATATGTCTTTAATTGGCAATCGGGAATTTAGCCAACCAATAACTACGGATGAATCTACCCAAAGGGTCAGGTTCTCGTCCACATTTGAAGGAGGGAGTTGTGATTTTACATAAATAAGAGCTCTTAACCCAATTAGAGCTGCAACCAATTCCATTTTTGGTATAGTAAATTTTTGACCTTTCTTTGTAATGGGTTTAAGCTTTGTTTTACTAAATAAAAGATTTGAATGTATTGATTGGGGAAGGTGGATACGTAAATAAATAGCGGCGCACATAGCCTGTGAAGAAGCGTCACTAAAACAATGTAATTCAATCTGTTTCACATTTAAGGGGTCGGGACATATACATCTTGGGATTGAGAAATTTAAGTCTTTCCATTCGGAAAATAATTGCTTCCATTCATTTACTTTTTCTTCGGGCACGGGGTCGGTCCACTTCAGATTATTGAGCCATAAGGATTGGAAAAATAATTTTAAAGGGAGTAAAATGGGTGATAAAAACCCACATGGATCATAAGCTGATGCAACAAATGAGAGAATGTCGCATTTCTTTGGGTTGGAGATTTCAGGGGGATTTGGTAAGTTAAGTCTAAATTTATCTTCTATTGGGCAATATTTAATACCAAGAAATTTAATTTTTGAGCTGGGGAGTTTGTCCTCTTCTGGGACGTCTTGTATAATTTTAGGGCAATTACTTACAAATTCTCTGAGTTTCATATTTGCCGTTGCAAAAAGCTTTGTTGCCTCAAGACATTTTAATTTTCCTTCTGTTATAGAGGAGGCTGTAAGAAGTATATTGTCTACATAAATATTTTCTTCCAATTCTTGTGATAGAGAGGATTTGTTTTTTAAAAGGTGGTAGCGAATTGTTGCTGCAAGGAGAAATGGTGAACAGATTAGTCCAAATGGTACACGGGCAAATCGATAAATTTGGATATTAGCCGAGGAGAGGGGAAGTGAAATGTCTTGTAACCACAAAAAGCGTGTTACGTCACGATCAGAAGGATTTATACTAATTTGAAGGAAGGCCTTTTGAATATCGGCCGTGATTACGTATTTAGGGAGGCGGAATTTAAATAAAAGACCGACAAGGTCATTCAGAAGGTTAGGTCCAGAGAATAAGCATTCGTTAAGTGACAGGTTCTTTCCTAATTTTGCTGAACCGTCGTAAACTATTCGAACCGTTTTCTTGTCCTGACGTATTACTGGGTGGTGGGGAAGGTAATGAAGTGGTACACAATTTTGATTTGGGTTTTGAACCTTTTCTATTATTCCCAGTTGGAGCTGTTCTGTGAGTATTTCTTGGTATTTAGAAATAAGCGTTTTATCATTTTTCAAGGAATTTAATACAGAACGCAAGCGTCCGTAACATAAAGGAAAATTAGTTGGTATTGGCAAATGGGCTGGATCGGTTTTAAACGGGAACTTTATTTCATAACGCCCGTCAACAAATTTTATGTCTTTAACAAATTGGGTTGATACCTTGTCTTCAAAGTTTTCCCCGGGATCCTCTTTTATACCTATTCCTTCTAGGGAAAGAAATTGTTGTATTTGGTCATCGATTTGAGAGCAAAAATTAGTATTGTGTATTAGACTATTACTGGGTGAGTACGGTTTGCCGGCCACAATAGGGCCGAGAAGGGTGCTAACTAAAGTATATCCAGATGGAAGCTTTTTTATTGGAGTGGGTTCAAGATCATAATAGTAGTCACTTCCTAATAATATTACTGGGTATATTATTTCGGCTGGAGGCAAAAATTCGGAAGTGCTATTTATTGTCTCAAAAAATGGGGGAATATATTTTGTGGGTTGTGTTAAATGATTAATTGTACAAGCATTAATGTAAATGGATCGGCCGTCTATAAGTTTTAGGCCAAATTCAGTGGAAAAGGTGGTGGTCGTTTGACACGAGGGATTGCTAAATACTCCTAAATTAACTGTAGTGGGTTTCATATTTAGTCCTAGTGAAATTGCTTCGGACTTTTGTATGTAGGAGTGGGTACTAGCATCATCTAACATTAAAAAGCCTGTACTACGTTTTGACGGGTAAGTCGGATTGAAGAACTCTACTCTAATACATTTAAGCAGTATCGGTGGGCTTGAATTTGGTTTTCGAGGGTAAACATACCGTGATGAAGTATTTATTTGGGCGGGGCCAATAGTTTTTGTTTCTGGGTTTGGTGATGGCTGTTTTTGTTCATTTTTATATTTTGAATGATTTTGACGTGAGGGAAATTCATTAAAATTTTGTGAAGATGTGCTATCAAATAGTGATGGTATTTGTGAAGGTTGGGGTTGTGAATAATTAGTTTGATAAGGAAATTGTGGATTGGTACGATTTGAATTATTGGTATTGTACCGTGAATTATTAAAGGTGTTTGTGTTATTTTGAGGTAAATTAAATAAAGTTCGACAAATAGCTCTTGGATGATTATTTTGACAGAAAGTGCATTTAATAGGACGGGGACAGTTCATTGATTGGTGGTTATTTTTAAAACATTTAAAACACAGTCCTTTTTCTCGCAGACGGGATGTACGTGTTTGAAGGTTGGGGTATTGTGTGCATGCGTTTGAAAAATGAGAAAATTGGTTACAAAATACGCATGGAAATCTTGATCTAGGCATTGGCATGTTATTACGGGTGGTAGAAAATGTTAATGAGGAATTAGGGGTGTGAGGCGGTGAACTTTCATTAGTCCAATTGTTTCTTGGGGATCTGGGTGAAAAACGTGTTGCTTCTGGTATATTCAATTCTTTCTTTTGATCCTTTAATGATTTTATACCTTCTTTGCGCTTCAATATTTGTTTTAGTGTTGTCCTAAGTTGATCAGTCTGCCATTCATCTCCATATTCATCCTTAGCCTTAAAAATTTCTTCCAAAATAAGGGGAGGGAGTTTTGATTCTAACTCCATTTGCACGGAAAGGGTATTTATGTCAAATTCTTGTTCAAGCATTTGTAAATATAATAGTTCTAATTGGTCTACGAAAGCTCGTAGTTCCATACAAAGGGTTTCGGGGCCATTATTTGAATGAACTATGGGCAATTTACGTATTGAATGCAGAAGGGTTCTGTTAATTTCATTGGCATTTCCATAATTTTCCCGTAAAAGTCGAATTGCCTCGTGATAAGAAGCATCAGTTAATGGAAGGGATTTTATTAATAAAAGTGCCGGTCCATCCAGACATTCCTTGAGGTAATTAAATTTAACAGCGTCTGAAAGATTTGGAATATCATGGACCCCAACGCGAAATGAGTTCCAAAAGGAGGTGAATTCGATACATTTTCCACTAAATTTGGGAAGTGATAGTTTGGGTAGATGAAATAAAGTATCAGTGGATTTGGAAGGGTCGGGAAGGTTTTCAGATAAAGTTGCCTTTTCTGTGCGTAGTTTGTTAATGTATTTCTTTAAATTACGGATTGTAGTTGGGTAGGGCACATCTTGTACAAATTCATCATATATGGGATTATCTGCTATTCGTTCGGCTCCCGTCATTGACGTTCTGACACCCATCCAAAGATCATTTTGGCGATTGATATCGTTGTAAATTTCTGTTGCATTTTGTGATTCAGTATCTAATGAATTAATTAGGGTGCGAATTTGGGTATGATATTGAGAAATGCTTCCAGTTTGGACAGGAAGGGCAAATGATTTTTGATTATTTAGGATATCATCGGCTTCTTCAGCCAACAACCGAATTTGGTTACGAAAAGGGGCTGACATTTTCTCGGTTTTTCTTTAACCCGGCTGAGCTGTAGGGTTTTTTTCCCTAATATTTATAGAAATCCTAGTTCTAAGTTCAATTAATTCAAAATCCAATAAAATTTATTTCGCGAGAGAAAAAACAATTAATTTAAGAGAAGGAGAATATATAATTTATAATAATATTATTGAAGAGTGATTAAAGGGAAGGGAAACAATATATTTATAGTTATTGTTTTTGGAGGAAATGTATTTCAAAATATGTGTGTGGGAAATTTTAGTAGTGATTAATATATTTCATAATTTTAATAAGTTATTTAAAATAATTAATTGGAGTTAATTCGCAGGATGCGACACTTGCTTCAAAATTATCGAATCCGGGGCGCCCTGGTATGGTTCGATTCAGAACACAGAGAATTTTGAACGAAGTACCCTATATTTATGATACATAAGATTGAAAATTTTTTCTTTAATTTTTAGTTTTTTTGATTATAGGTTTGTTGATTTTTTTGAAATCTTTTAACATTTTTTTCTCTCCAAAAACCAAAAGGTTCTTTCCTATTTAAATAATTGAGGGACAAATCTTTTTTTAAATTAATATTTTTAGTAAATAATTTCAACATAATTTCAAAATCAAAAAATAATTTCAAAATCTACATATAATATATCAATTTACAAAAATTTTGTCATTTTATTTCGAATATTTTTTGCAATTATTATTTTTGTGTTCTTTAAGTTTTAAATAATTTTTGTTTGTTTTTCATTAATTTTTGGCAGGTTCAAGTTTTGCAAAGTACATTAACCAAAGGGCAAAAAATTGGAAAAATTCTAGAAGTTGATATAAAATAATATTAATCCAAACAAACAATCTCCCCCTCCACATAAAGCCCCCAAAAAACATCCCACGTACTCTCAATTTCTACAAAATCATGTTACTCTTTTTAATAAAGGCATTGTTTATTTAATACCTGCCTATATTTATTTAATCCACCAAAAAATTCAGAAAAAAATATTATTTACATGCAAAAAGATTGCAGAAAGAGAAGCTTTGTAAAAAATAAATTTCCGTTTCCTTTCAATTTCAATTAATTTTTTAAATTCAAATTTCAAATTTTCTTTTTATATTATTATACCACTCGCTGGATACAAATTTTATAGCCTCAAGATTTTTCATACTTCCCTTTCAGATATAGTATTAGGGCAGCACGCAATTGAAAAAAATTCCGCAACTCGCAATCCGCAATTGCGTGCAGCCCTGTAGAGTATCCAATATACTAAATAAAAGCAACTATATTTCATATTCTCTCGAATAGAATGCCACCCTTTATTAGCATGCCACCTTGGAAGGTAATTAAAAAATAGAAAGTCATGGCATTCTATTAGGGAGACTACAGTACCTTAATTTGGTTGGCCACTGGGTGGAGGAGCTACTTATCATATACTCCTATTTAGGATACACTCATAGGATTTAATTTTATACCCCTAAAATTTTTCATAATTAAACAAAGTTTAAGAAAATTATTTTCAGGTAAACACTACTAATTATCTCTTCTAAATTTAAATTTCTTCAAAACCCCATTTCGTTCATTCTTCCACGTCATTTTCTACTTAATTATCAAAAAATGCAGCAAACAGGCTCCTTCCTCTCTATCTGCATTTTATCCTTTTTGGCCATATTTTTGAGTTATGCTAATTCACAAGAATTGGGGTCTGTAGCTGTTAATGAGCCTTTACTTTTGGAGGAATTTATGCTACAGTAATTTTGTTTTTTAATTAAATTTTGGTGCTTTTTAAAAGGCAAATGCCAAAACGTGGAGCTATGAAGAAAGCTGATGTTCGCGATTTCATTGGGTCAATTAATAGTGCTTCCCGGCTTCGATATGGCAAGAGAGCGATTTTGGAGCCCGTGATAATAGCTTCTCCATATAAGTGAGGAAATTATTTAAAATTTTTTCGAACCAAGATGTGATTTTCTAAATAAAAAAACGACTTTCTTTTTTTGGCACTTTTAAGGCATTTTTTTTAGTTTTCAAAAATTTCTCAAATAATAAATGCCGCATATATTCTATTAATTACCCTCTCTAAAATAATTACCCCTGCTCTATTAATTACCCCATCAGGCGAGAGATCTAAACACCCAGTGTAATTATTAGAGCATACACGGTAGCTCTTTTGTGAATAAATTTGAATACATAAAAACACTCTCGAATAGCTACAATTATTCACCTTGAAAGAAGGAAAACAAGAGAATTTAGATTTACAAAAATTATTTTTTCTTCCCTCATCATTTACATATCTATTAAGTAACTAGACAACGTTCTTTAAAAAACATTAAATTTTGAAAATTAAGAAATAATTAATTTAAAATAAAAAATCACATCTAATGTGTTCCGTGTCTGGTAAGGCAGTGGTGAATTGGGCTGTGATTGATAGGACAGTAAACGTTTTTAAAAAAATAATTTTACACGCAAAAGCAATTTGATAACACTAAAAAATAATTTTGAGTGATTTGGGCAGTAGCCTAAAATTGTTAAAATAATTTACACATAAATGTACCTCTGCACAAATAACACGGCACCATCTATTCTAATATTAACCTGATATATAATTTTTGAAAGCCAAAACCCTTTTAAATATTTAATTTGATCAAAAAATATACTACATTTCCCCCCCCCCCACAGATTACAACAAATGCTAGCTAAAAGAGCACCAAGCAACTACGCTGAGGCTTTGCCTGCTGGACTGCTTGATCAGCTTAATGGGGCTGAACGATTGAGATTTGGAAGAAAATAAAAATTAGAAGAGAAAAAAAGGAAAAAGTGCAAGAAAGGCAATTGAACTCTTTTTTGACAAAAAATCCGTTTTTGACCCTCCTAATGATCTCATTAAAATATATTTTTAATTAAAACTGTATGGCTTTTATTTAAGCTATTAAATGATTGTTTGAATTTTTTATTGAAAAAAAATATTTTTTATTTAATAATTTCTTTTAAAGTACGTTAAACTAATTTTAATTTTACATTTTATTAAAGACAATTGTCTAAATGCTTTTTAATTTAAATAATAATTTTTAAAGTTTTATTTAATAATTTCTCTCCGTGGGAACTATTAAAAGATGCCATAATTTCATATTATTGTCAATTATTAAACAGACAAATTAAATTTTCAGGAAAAACTATGAATTCAATATAAATTAAAATTTTGAATAAAATTAACCTAAAATATACGACTAGGAATTTTTTAATTTTATAACAGATTTAAACATTTATTAATAGAAAAAATTAGTTAACAGACTATTTATTTTTTATAATTATGGATCTGATTTTTGGAGTGTAAAAACCTTCAGACGGGTCCATAGAGGACAAAATAGAGATCAAAAATTTCCTCAAATTGTTTTTTAAAGGCAGAATAGTGCATGTAGTTTGGTAAAAGACAAATGTGCCTCCCACTATTAAAAAATACATTCCCGACTACAAAGAATTAGGTATGTACATATGTATGTATCTACTCACAATAGGTAGACTAAAAATAGGTAGTAAGCTTCAGACTTATACAATGTATGACTCAATATTGACGTCCAGTTTTTACGTCATAACTATTTCAGGAAAATAACCTAAAAATTCGACCCCTGTTTATAATTATTTAAAAAATATTTCCATTATTTTCTTTTACTAAATATGTAAATCGACTACAAATTAAATTAATTTTAAAATAAATTTAAAATAAAAATATTGACTTCTTTAACAATTATGTATTTCTTAATAAAATTAATCTTTTTCTAAACAATCTATTCCAAAATGTTCAAGACATCCACCATCAATAAAAATTTTATTATGTTTACTTAATTGTTTTATTATATATTTTGTAACACCAATAACCCCTTCTTTTATATATTTTATTTCATTTTCATTCATTGTACTGAAAATTTTAAGAAATTAATTTAAATAGAGTCTTTAATAAATTGTGACAATTTGGATAATTATTCTTTAGTAGGGTTGAGCGTTTTGGACCGAACCGACCGATGAACCAATGATTTATCGGTTCGGTTTCGGATATCCAAAGATTTCCCAAGAACCTACAACCCCTACTTTTTGGTAAAGTAAAATGAAAAAACTTAACTAGCAGTGAAGACAAAAAAAGTTTTATTTGATGGTTACCAATATAAAAATTTTTTAACCCTACTTAATACACTGCAACGTAAAATTATACGTCCACCCCATTTTTCGAAATTTTTTCGTTTGTTTTCGTCGTGTATTTACCTGAGGTGGGTCGGAACAGTCAGAGGTGTCGGAACTCGGAATTCCGACCCACTTCTGGTACTTACTATAATTTAGTAATTATTTTAAAATTTAAACAAAACTTTTTTAATTGTTCTCCTAATAAACGTTCAATATCAATAATTATTTGTTTCGAAATCATATCTCTAACGATTTCAACTTTATCAATTCCATCCAAAAATAATAAAGTTAAATTTACTAAATAAACATTAATTGCCCAGAAACTCATTCTCGACTTAATTTTATTCATTCTTTTAATTTTATCAATTTTTTGTTTAATTTCCTTTTCATGATCTTTTATATTTAAATTATAATCAAAAAATAAAAATAATTGAATTAATTGTCTGTTTATTTTTTTATTAATTCCCTTTTTAGTTATATATTCGAACAAATCGTATCTATTTACTTCATCCATTAAATGATCTGAATCTTTATATGATTCCTCGAAATTTTTATATTTATCTAATTCACAAACATTAAATAATGCTTCACATAAGATAACTATATCAGATTTATCATACACTTAAATACAAAAATTAAAAAATTTTTTAATTATAGTTAAATTTTCTTTCCCACCCCAGTCAATTTTTTTCTGTTAGAAGAATGTGGAACACAACGAGCTGTGTCGAATGGCACCAAAATCAACGTGATTGGACAAGTTTTGACAAAGTATGACATTAAGTAGACGTATTGGAGTCGGCGACTTGTGTCATAACTTGCCAAATCTTGTCCAATCACGTTGATTTTGATGTCATTAGATACAGCTCGTTGTGTTCCACATTCTTCTAACAGACTGACCATTTCATTCGTCTTTAACAAAAAAAATTGACTGGGGGTTGTAAAGTAAATAAGTACCATTTTCTATAGCTAATTTTTGGTTTTTTTCAGAGAAACTTTTTTGGTTTCCCCAATATTTAATTAGGTATTTTAAAAAATTTATAGAGGGGAATTTAAATATAATGTATGTATTTTTCTTAAAGTTTTTAAAGCTGAATTTAATGTCAAGTTTTATTCAAATTAAGATTCTAGATAATTTTAATTTATTTAAAATTACAAGGCTGTTCCGGTTCAGATTCACTATCAAATTCATTTTTGTCTTTATGAGCTTTTGCTATTATAGAATTATTTCCAAATTGTCCTTTTGAATTTGTTGATAAAATATTGGCTAAAAATAATTAGATATATTTTTTTATTTAATTTATTTTCAAAATTTAAAAACTATTTACAATTTCCAATTTTCCGATTAAATCCAATTTGTTGTTTTGGTTGAGTTTTTGATTGAAACTCGCCAAAATTTGTGTTTAAATCAGGAAGAGTTGATTGGACTGTTAAAAATAAAATGATTAAAATATCTTTGAAATAATTATTATTCCCACCCCCTCCTTATAGTAAGAGATAGTACTGGAAGTGCCGTACAAGAAACAAGATTGATATTTCTCAAAAAATCTCAGACATCTCTTAAACACTCGTTCCCCATTATCTCTCTTAATCCCCCAAATCCCTCTATAGCCCTCTTAATTCTCAAATCTCTCAATACTCCTCAAAATCCAACAATATTCCCTTTTAATCCCCCAAATTCTCAAATATTCCTCCAAATCCACAAATATCTTCAAATCTACCGATATCTCCTTTAGTCACTTAAATCCCTTGATATCCCCTATATCCCTCAAACTTCATAATTATCCCTCGTAGATATCCCTCTTAATCACGCAAGGATACCCTACTCACTGCGCAAAAGATGGAGTCAAAAACGGCAAAAATTATGAAATTATATATGATTTATTCAAAATTAGACCCGGCCTGGGTTTCCGGGTTAAAACTCCAAAATTTAATAAAAACCAAATTTTATGAAACCACCCGATTTCCTAGATAGCGGACCAGAACCCATCCCTGGCCCGACATTACGTCCTCTACTTACTTTTATGATTAATTCCAGTTAAAACACAAAATATTAACAAATAATTATTTAAAAAAATAAAGAATATTATTAAATAATTCATTTATTTAGACAATTTTAAATTAATTTATTTTTCTATAAATGAATTTAATGGGGGGATTTTAAAGAGGCCGCCATAAAGCACTTTGACTGATTTCATTATTTTATTTCATCATGCTTAATAAAAAAATAAATATTGCGTAATTTAAATCTTAATTAAATTTTCACGTGAAATAAAAAGGGCAATAATGCCCTTTATAAGTACATATTTTTAAATAAAATGTTTTTTTATGTTTTTGTTTCCAAGTAATAAAATAATGTAAATCGTGAGAACCTAACCAGAATATAGTAAAAGGATTGATCCAGAGAGCTCGTCAAAGTTATCCATGCCCCTCTGACTCGTAGTCTTAATCTTTAATTTTAAATTAACTAGGCTTATATTGAATCTAGCCGGATTTTGTCTGAGGCAGAAACTCATATGTCCGACTTGTTTTTGGAGAGGTAGATATACAGTCGTGGAAAAAAGTATGGAAGCGCTAGAAAATTTTCTCTTAATTTTTAATTTTTCATTCGAAAAATACGTTCTATATACCAATCGAAAGCTCTATTCGTATCTCAGTTGACATGTTTCTGCATTTTTTATGAAAATGAAAATTGGCCGAGATAATCCGGATCTACCGGATATACCAAATCCCACTTTTTCGGAAAAATTTTTCGGAATAAATTTAACAAACCCAAATGATAAAGCATATTTTTCTGAGTATTTTCCACAAAACCGCTTAGAAATATCTTTTTCCGGAGCAGAGATATGATTTTTTGAAAATGGCATTTTTCGTCAATTTTTGCAAAAAATTCAATTTTGAAGGAAAAAATGCGATTTTCAAAAAATCATATCTCCGCGCCGGAAAAAGATATTTCTAAGCGGTTTTGTGGAAAATACTCAGAAAAATATGCTTTATCATTTGGGTTTGTTAAATTTATTCCGAAAAATTTTTCCGAAAAAGTGGGATTTGGTATATCCGGTAGATCCGGATTATCTCGGCCAATTTTCATTTTCATAAAAAATGAAGAAACATGTCAACTGAGATACGAATAGAGCTTTCGATTGGTATATAGAACGTATTTTTTGAATGAAAAATTAAGAATTAAGAAAAAATTTTCTAGCGCTTCCATACTTTTTTCCACGACTGTAATTGCGGACTTTGGCTTGCGTGAAATTGTGTTTTGTTCCTTGTAGATTGCGTGCGAATTTTTAGGATTTTTGGAATTTTTTACTTCGTAAAAATATTTGTAATGTAATTTTAATTTCTGCAGTGCTAACAGCCCTAAAGGGAAAGAAGGAAACTCGTTAACCATATCATATTCAAAAAATTTTTTATTTCAATTTATTTAAATATTTTATTCTAAAAAAGTCTGAGCATTTTTCTATAAGCTTACGCCTACTTTTTGACATAAAAAATAATATTAAATATAAAGGGAACAATTCAAAAAAATTCTATCAAGTATTTAAAAACACAAAAACGAAACAAAAAAAGTAACAATTTTCCTAAAAAAATAAAATTATATATTATTTTATTTTCCTAATCCCCTCTCTTTTTATCCATTCCCGCGGTCCCCCAAAGAATCATTGTAATAGGCTCCTCCATAAACCGTTTAAAATGTTGTAACCAAACTGCACCAACTGCGCCATCTACAACTCGGTGATCACAACTGAGAGTTACTTGGAGTGAAGTTACTGCTCGATACCTTTGAAAAAAATAAAAATATTTATTAAAATAGTTGAGTATATCAGAAGGAATTAACTCAAGAAAATGAGGAATTGGAGCATAAAATCGGAAAATAGAATTTAAACCGAACCGAGGAACCAAGAAAAGCCTAAAAGAACCATTCCGGCAAGAGCGTAGACAGGCAGGCCCGTAACCAGGGGGGGTGAGGGGGGGAATTCCCCCCCCCCGAAATGGGAAAAAGGAAAAAATTTGGGGAAGGGCTGGGGCAAAAAAGTGAATTTTTTTGGCCTACGGCCTTCGAAATTTTCAAAATTTTCGCCTGCGGCGCTAAAAAAGGACGAAATCTGGCTTCTTGAGGTCCAAAATTCAAAAAATTTTCGCCTGCGGCGCTGAAAATCAAATTTTTGGCGCCTGCGGCGCCGAAAAAGTGAATTTTTTTGGCCTACGGCCTTCTAAAATTAAAAAAATTTTCGCCTGCGGCGCTGAAAATAAAAATTTTTGGCGCCTTCGGCGCCAAAAATTTGGCGCAAGCAAATTTCCCCCCCTCGAAAAAAAATCCTAGTTACGGGCCTGTAGACAGGGAATCGTCAATTTCGAGAGGGAGGCTTCAGCCCCCACCCCAGGATACGCCCTTGCGTTCCGGACATTTAAAATCGAGAATTCTATTCACAATACACAATAAACCCAATTAAAAAATATTTCTTACTTTTCTTCACTGCTTTCTTCTTCAGCGGGCACAAGTTTACGTCTAGCAGCACCAATCGCAAGAATACACGATTGCGGTGGATTTATTATAGCAGTGAAGTGGTCAACGCTGCCAAACATGCCAAGATTAGAAACGGTAAATGTGCCACCCTGCAAAATAAAAAATTGATAAAAGTATCTTAAATATTCAAATAAAATTTTAAGAATTTTCATTCAAAATCAAGGCTTAAAAAATAAAAATTCACATTTAAAAAATTGGGGAAAATGTAAAATCAAAAAATTTTAGAAGATATGGTTGGGGTGAGCCGGGGGGTTTTTGTTCAGTGGACCGTTTTGTGGGCGCGCCTCCAAAATAATTTTGCAAGAAAGCCCGCATCACTTCCCAATAGAAAGTCGATGGTCCTCTATTTTTGTACAGTATCACATGTTTTCTTGTAAGAAAATTTCATAAATAACCTGAAACTCGTGTGGCTGTAATTTTCCATCCCTTGCTTTAGCAGCAAGTAATCCAATTTCATATCCAATAGTTGCAACACCTTTTGTATGTGCATCAAATATAATTGGCGTTATAAGTCCAGAAGGAGTACTAACCGCAACAGAAACGTCAACACCCAAATGTTCTCGAATAAAACTTCCCATAAAAGAAGAATTTGCTTCGGGAACGCGAAGACAGGACAAAGCAGAAGCTTTGATAATAAAATCATTTATAGAAAGCTTTTGTGGCTTTTCGCCAGTCTTCTTTGCTTCTTTTTCTAATAAGGCGTTGAGCTTCTTTCGAACACTGAAGATTAAAAAAAAGTGAAATTAAATGAAAAAAATATTATTAACGTTGAAAAAATTTTTTTTTAATTTACAGATCAATTTGGGAAAATATAGAATAATTTTAGAAAAAAACGCATTTATAGGTGCATGTCAAGGACGTAGCCAGGGGGGGATTCTGGAGCCCCCCTCCTCCTAAAATGAGGAAAAAGGTAAAATATTGGGAGAAAACTCCATTTCAGCCACCCTGAAATCGAACCCTCTAAAATTTAGAAACTGGACGAGCACGAAAAACTAGTATCGTTAATCAACTAAAGAATAGTGGCAAGACTAAACCTTAACTAATATAAGACAAAGTTCCCCAATAAAATCGAGTTAATTGTAAGAAACAAGAAAGTCTCTTGGTCGAACCACTAGTTAATATTAAATCATATTTTTGTGTGTGTAAACAAAAACTGGGTTAAAAATTTCCCGACATCTATTAATAAAAATACCCAAAATAAAAATTTACTTACTCCATTAATTTGTCAATATACAATTCAGATGTAAGATAATAATGTGGAATTGTTGACTTTGCTTCTGCAAGACGTTTAGCAATTGTTTTACGCATATTTGACAAAGGAATATCGGTATATTCAGCAGTAGGAGCGCCACTGGGTATTGGAGCTTGTGCAGAGGCTTGTGACAAATCTGCAGCCAAAATACGCCCTCCGGGACCAGAACCAGGAAAAGACTTAAAAAATATGCAGTTAAGGCGAAAACAATTTTTAAACAAACACTCAAATCAATTCCTTGCTCCCCAGCAAGTTTCTTTGCTAAAGGTGACGCTTTTAATCGATCTCCTTTGGCCATAGTTTCAGGAGGAGGTTGAGTTGGAGATTGGACTGCAGGAGCTTGTTTTGTCGATTCCTGAGCAGCTGGAGCGCTGGCAGGCGGAGTCGGAGCAGCCACACTTTCATCGGCAGAAAATTCTTTAAATGCGGCAACATCATTTTTGTCTTGAACAATAATACAGAGAAGCTGGAAAAAATTTTTTTAAATAAAAAATAAAATTGTTAAACAAAAACCTTTCCAACAGGGACATCTTTAGAACCTTCTGGGAGAATAATTTTAGCCAAGTACCCTTCTTCTGGTGCCTCAAACCCCATTGTCGCTTTATCCGTCTCAATTTCACACATTAAATCACCTTCGCTAAGTTGATCGCCTTCCTTTTTTTGCCAAGAAACAATTGTACCCATCTCCATTGTTGGACTCAGTGCAGGGAAAGTAATTTTGGAATGGTCTGGGTAGTCAACTTAAATTAAGAGAAATTAAAAAAAATTAGGCTCTATTCCAAAAGATAGGCGGAATCGTTTTTTCATTACCTGCAAAGAAAGGAAAAATAGAGAAAAATGACTCGGACAAACAAAACACAAACGAAAATGTTTTAGAAATTGATAGTCGTCCGAGTTTTGTCTGTCCGCTTCCATCCGTCTCCATTTTTCCTTTCCTTGCAAAAAAGGAAAAACTAATGGAAAAAACGCTTCCGCCTATCTATCTTTTGGGATAGGGTCAAAAATTAATTTAAGTGATATTCCAGAAATTTTTTTCAATATTTCGAGCAAATATCTTAATTTTCCAATAAATTGTCCAATATTTTAGTATAAAAAAATTTAATAAATTAAAATTATATACATCGTTTAGAAGTCAAATGTAAGTAGCGAAAGCCGGTATTTGGTCGAACAATGGCCAGACGAAAATGTAAACCCTGATGAGTAGAAAATCGTTGACGCAATCTTAGATTTCGCTTAAATATAAAATTAAAATTAAAAATTGAGAAAAAAACAAACCGAATAACAGGCTGTCAAAATTCTCAAAGCTCGGCTACCATTCATCATTGCAAATTTTCAAATAAAAAAAATCTACGACTTAAAAATAAAAATATTAAAAGAAATTACAAAAAGAAAAATGGGCTGATACTTCAAGAAAAATTTTTTAAGAAAAGAAAGCTGAAACAAAATAAGGGGACACCCCAAGTAGGCGCGCGGCCATAACGGCGCAAAGCCATAACTTGCTTCAAGATTTCCGAATCTTACCAAATTTAGTATTAAACGATTCCTCTCATCGAGCTAAAGAGATTGGTACCAAAATTGATACGGGTCAGAAATTTTTCAACAAGTTATCGCTTTGCGCCGTTATGGCCGCGCGTCTATTTGGGCGTGTACCAAAAAGAACAGCTTGAGTCTTAATGTAAAATCAAATGATAAATAAATGTATGAATTTATATGTAAAGAATATAAATTGATAAAAATCGAAATTAATATTTTATAGAAAAATTTAAAGATGGAAAAAAAATATTTGCAGTCATCAACAAATTATTCAAGCTAGCTAGTAATTTTCAATGTGAATAATTTTAAGACTCTAGCGTTCTTTTAATTTAAAATTTATTAAAACGAATTCCCTGATTTTCGCAAGAATTCAAATAAAATTTAATGCCAACGTGTACCTTAACAAAAAAAAATTATTTTTTGTGGTAAATCCATTTATGGCAGAATGAATTTATAACTTTTTGGATAATATTTATAACCAAAATATTTAAATAATCTTATTTAAATGGCTTCAATCAAAGATTTATCAAACAAATTTAATGATTTAACAGGCGTTCCAAAGGTTTTTTTTTAATTTTTTTGTATTTTTGTCAATGAAGTACCCCTTCCCCTCTATTTTTTTCTCACTGTATAAAGATGGTCAATTTTCTGAAGAATGAAGAACACAACCAGCTGTGTCAAACCTTGCCCAATCGCGCTGATTTTTATGTCTTTCGACTCAGCTCGGCGAGCTCTTTCGAAAGAGCTATCATTTTTTAAACTGTCGCCCCTATGGTTTTTCATATTTGAGAGGACTGTATCTCGGTCAAATCAAGTCGGATTTTTTTTGGTGTCATTCGACACAACTGGTTGTGTTCTACATTCTTCTGAAAACTGACCATTTTTATACCTTGAGAAAGAAAAAATAGAGGGGGCGGGGATACGAAGTTCAAAACTTCAACATTTAAATTCTTAATTCAGATATTAGATATTCTTCCTCTTGAAATACAAATAGATATTTTAAAATGTCTCGATTATAACCAATTAACAACTCTTCAACAAACAAATAGTCAAATACATAAATTAATTAAACATTTTGAGAATAAATTGGCTCGAAGAAATTTTTCTGTTCTTAAAATTGTAATTTTTAACAATTATTTTTTATTTTAAATCAAAATTTTAAGGGGTCTGATCATGACATGTTTTCTTATTCTGTTCCTATGATTAGGTATCCAATTACAGAAATGGTTTATGATTTTCAACCAAGCAAGGAACTTGAACAGAAGGTTTGTAATTTTCTAAAGTTTGTTCTATTTGCTTCTTTTTTAGTGGGAAATTGCTTTAAATAATCAAATTCCAATGTATTTTTACCTTAACGAGGATGATAGAAATGTTTATGTTATTGCAGAATGTAAGTAAATATTTTAATTAGTATTTTTTTGAAAGAGTAAACAAAATAATATTTTTTTGTCTTCAAGTTTAACTAGAATGTGAGACTGGCAAAATCGAACTTCCGGGATCCCGAGTCTATTTTTTCTTAACCGATGCCGGGACGGGATCTCGAGGGATTAATCCCGAATCCAGAAAATAAAAAAAATCCGGGATTTCGGGATCCCGTCCAGCGCCGGTCTCTAACTAGAATTGAGAATGATAGGATTTACTTGTTTCAATCTCAAATATCCAGTGATCCCTCATCCCCTTGAAATACATACTATTTTAAGAGACTGTTGTTTAGTTTGGATCTTTCAGATTGGAACTTTATTATAGTTAACCTTGTAGACAAAGAGTTGAAATTTGTTCCTTAACCTCACAAATTAAAATACTTGATTCAATTTCTTTTTTTAATCTTTACAGCAAATACCTGCTTTTATCGCTTTGAACTGTTTAAATGGCCAAATAAAATAGATCACTTTATTTTTGCCCGTCACTGTTTCGAATTACTTTCTCATTGCCATTTTAATGAAATTATTTTTGAAAGAATTGTGTTTAATCCACAAATATTTAATTTAATTTTTGATGATCTACCAATCAAATTAAACTGCAATATTGCTAGATTATTACTCAATAATATAGATTATGACAATCAAGCGTTGGAAGTTGTTAAAAATAATTTGGTAATTTCCAAAATGCTGAGTTTCCGTTTTATTTGGGCAGCTTTTACAACTTTGTATGAGGTTGATAAATACATTTTTTTGAATTTTTTGTTGAATGGAGGCGCTAATATCCCTCTTGCTTCTATTTATTATATTGGATCTGCTATTGAACTTCACAAAGAAGTTATTAAGGTTTGGATATTTTTGTAACTTTTGCTAAAAACGGATCAAGTTTCCTCATTTTCTTAAAAATCGGGGAATAGAATATTTAAAGGGATTGGATTTTGGGACACGCCCAAATAGGCGCACGGCCATAACGGCGCATTGCCATAACTACCTTGAAACTTTCTGACCTTTATCAATTTTGGTACCAATCTCTTTAGCTTTTTTGAGAGGAATCGTTTAATACTAAAGTTGATAGGATTTGGAAATTTTGAAGCGTTATGTTGCGCTTAGTTGGCCATAACTTGCTTTAAGATGCCGAATCTTTTTAAATTTAGTAGAAACGATTCCTCTCATCGAGCTGGAGAGATTGGTACCAAAATTGATAAGGGCCAGAAATTTTCTAGCAAGTTATGGCTTTGCGTCTAGTTGGCCGCGCGCTTATTTTGGCTGTACCCTTGGATTTTTATTGACGAAATAAAAATTAGAAAAATCTTGATTTTTCAATGACTGAAAAATCTCAATATTTTATTTTCTGTTCAAAAAAGTTCCTCTTTAGTTTTTTCCGATTTGTTAATCAGTGATAATTTATATTTCAAAAATTATATAATAATTTTTAAAGTTTGCCGAGACTTCATTAGATTGTTCAAAAATGGTGAATAGCATTGAATTTCAACGACTTGAATGGTCTATGCCTAAATTTAGTTCAAGAGTTAAACTAATTAGACAAAAAGAATATATTAAAGGAGAGAACCAACACATATTTTTAAAATACGAAACTTCAAATGTGCATAATTCAAATTTGGTTTTTTATATTTTTATTTGGAAAGAAGTCAAAGCTGAAACAATACATCGTTTTAGAATACAAAAATTAATTCGTGCTTCTATTGGGAAATAGTTTTTAGTAACTAATTTTTTGAGTATGATTAGAGATCGGAAATGGTCCTTTCCCCGGTTGCTTCAAAAAAGTTTGCCGAGACTTCATCAATCAAAGGTCCCTTTTTCCGGTTTTCGAGTCCCGGTTTCCATGTGTCCCTTTTTCCCGCTTTTTTTTTTGAAGCAACGGGGATGAAACCGGGAACGGGAATTTCGGGGTTTTCCCGGTTCGGGTCCCTCCCGGTCAACTTTTGGAACTCGGTTCCTGGACCCGATTTTTTATTCTAAAATGCTCTTTTTCCCGATCTCTAATATGTAGGGACAGCCAAAATATGCACGGAAAATCGCCAAATATGCGCATATATATGCACCGAAAAAGCCCAAAATATGCACCAAAATATGCAAAATTTGCCAATATATGCACTGAAATATGCACCAAAAAATAGTTAAAATATGCTTTAAAAGTCTATATTTTATGTTAAAAACATTAATTTAACCTTTAATTTTACATTTTGAGAGCAACTCTAAAAGATTTAGTGGATTTAAAATTTCTGCAAAAAAAATTTTTTTTTAATTTTTCCTAAAAAATTTTTCGAAAAATATTTTTTCAAAAAATTTTTGCAAAAAATTTTTTTGTCTAATAAATTTCAAAATTTTGGTCAATTTTTGGCAAAATTTTACAAAAAATGTCAAAATATGGACCAAAATATGCAAAATTTCCCAAAATATGCACAAATATGCAAATATGCGCGAAATGGTCGAAATATGCAAATATATGCATTAAGAACCGGGTCTTAAAGTGCTCGTACATATGTAAAAACACCATTTTTGGGCTTCCCACTTCAAGGCATATCCGCATACAAAACATGCATTTGCATGTTTTGGCTGTCCCTACTAATATGTATACTTAGTTTTTAATTTTTTGTGCAAGTTTTATTTGAAAATTATTTTGTATTCCCTAATTATTCTTCCTAACATTTACTTTTTTTTTAATTTGGAGATCGGACAGCTTTTTTTGAAAATTAGGAAATTTTGGAAAAAATTTTTTGGGAAAATCTCGATGTCCTGTCTCTCAGAAAGTATATCCAACATTCTTTTCTTAACTAAATATATTTCCTAATTCCAATTCCTAATTAATTTTTTTGTAATTTCGTGCCAGAATTTAATTATCTCTAATTATTTAATTAAAATAATTAATTTTAATAAGCTGTTCTTAATTAAAAAAATTTTTCCAATTGTTCGGTTTATTACCTTTAAATTATTTTTCTTTTTTTAATTTTTATTGTTTTCTTATTTTAGTTTTTAATATTTTAAATAATATTACTTTTATTCAAAAATGGCTACATGGGATGAATATCTTCAAAATCAAATAAATAATGATGGAATTCAAATGACTTGGAATGTTTTGCCTCATTCTAGAGTTGATTCTCAAAAATTGATTGTTCCTGTTGCTACATTTTTTACTCCGTTAAAGGTTTAGTTTTAAATGCTAGAAAATGAAAAATATTTTGGGGGACCTGGGAAAATTTATTTTTCGGAGGGTTACATTTAAAATTACAATCTAACTGGGTAATTTTAATTCTAAAGGATTCAAATTTAGGAAAAGCCTTCAGACCAGCCGAAACAACCGGTAATGGAATATGATCCAATTCTATGTCAAAAACAGTCGTGTAAAGCTGTCCTCAATCCACTATGGTTAGTTTAATTTATCGAATTTTTTGCCTTACAAAAAATTCTTTTTTACGATTAAAAATTCTTTCAATAATTTTTTACATTTTTTTAAATTTTAGTATGATCGATTACCGAACAAAAATGTGGATGTGTCCATTTTGCAATCAAAGGAATCCTTTTCCTCCACATTATGCAACTATTTCTGAGGAAAATAAACCACCAGAATTACATCCATTTTTTACTACAGTCGAGTACACACTTAGGGTATTTCTTTGATTATTTTTATTCGTTTTTAAGTTAAATGGGAATTTACTTTTAAAATTCGGTTCTTTTCTGGGATACTTCCAAAGTCCGCAAATTTTGTCCGCAAGTCAATTTAAAATTTTTTGTTTGTTTTTCAGAAGGCCACAACACTTGCACCTATTTTTCTTTTTGTTGTCGATACCTGCTTGCCAGCTGAAGAATTGAAGGCTCTAAAGGATGCACTTCAAAAAGCGATTGCCTATTTGCCTGCAGATGCTTTAATTGGACTGATAACATTTGGAAGAGTAGTGGAAATTCATGAGCTTAATGTGAAAGGAATTGCGCGTTCTTATGTCTTCAAGGTTGGGTTTACTTTTATTTTTAAAAAATTTTTTGGGTTTGTGAAAGTTTTTTAAAAAATTTGTCGAAAATGAGAATAATAGAGATCGGAATTTTTGAAAAGCCTGGGCCTTTTCCTGAGTTCCGAGTTTGATTTATTGACCTGTGCCGGATTCTGGGCCTGTAGTCCAGGAAAAACCCAAGCTCAGAAAAAACGGTAATAGTTTGGAATTCGCCCCCTTTTTTTCCTTTCTTCTTTTTCTAAGTTTTTTTTAATTTTATGGCAAATTATATATCATTCGAAAGAGCTCTTCAAGCTGAGTCGAATGACGTTAAGAACAACGAAATCTGACTTAAGTGAACAAAGTTGTGACCGTTTACTTTATCCCCTTGCATTGACACAAAAAGTTTGCCCAAACTAAGATTAGGCTTCATAATTTTGGTAAGATTGATCAGATCTGACTAATCATGTATCATTCGACCACGCTCGAAGAGCTCTTTCGAATGATATATGATAAATTATGTATCAAACAAAAAAGCTCACAATGGTCAGTGAAACAGTGAAAAAAGGGGGGCGAATTCCAAACTATTACCGAAAAAACCCAGGAAGGTCAAAAAATGCCCGGGCCTGAACTCTGGGTACAGGAAAAACCCAGGCCTTGGTCCAGACCCAGACCGATATCTAGTGAGTAATTGTGTTTGTTTTGTGGTGTAATATTTTTTGTAATTTAAGTCAGCAAACATAAAGAATTGTGTTTATTTTATTGGGATTAATATAAAAATTCAATGAGATCATTTTCAATAAATGAGGAATTTCTGAATAAATATTTTTTTATTTTAAATTCATCCCATCATTATATTTCCTCCAATCCGGCTGAATCGTTTCTCTGTGAATTCTCGTTGAATCCTATTTTCGGGCTGAAATATTTTAAATTTAGTTTTCGAAAATTTTCTTTCCTATATTTTACCGTGAGAATGCTTCCTTCATTAAAAGCAGCAGCTAATTGACGTTTAGTCCTTCCATCTTGTCCATTTTGTATCTTGTAGTTATACATTTGTGAATCTGCTGAATTAAGAGGTGTTGGACGGCGTAACATTTTAATCAAGTTAATATATTCTGCTGTGTTTTTGGATGTAATAATTGGAACAAATACTAAATTTTCATTATTTTGTTGTTGTTTTGTGATGATGAATAGAGTAAAAATGAATGAAAAAAGGAAATAGTAGTTAGACATTTTTAATAGGAAAAGAAGATTTTATTTAAGAGTAGTGAAAGTTTTGTAAATAAAATTCTGAAAAATAATTGAGGAATGTAATAGAGAATGTAGAGAATGAAAAATTGTAGAGAATGCCCTAAAAATTTCCCCGAGACCTGCTGTGTTTTAAAAACTCATAAACTAACAAAAATTTCTTTTAAATAACTTAGGTTGAAAGGAATTGTAGACGTGGAAAATTACTAACAAAAACTGGAGAATAAGGGAAGAAAACCCCAAACTTTTTAGTAGGATTGTGCCCCGTCCTCGAAGTCGCGGAATTTGAGAGATTTTTTGATATAGTAGGGTTGTTCATCCGTCATCCGTTGCTCCTCTCTCGTCGGAGAACAACCCTACTTATTAGCTAACTTATTATTAAGCAAGAAGTATATTTTAAAAGTTATTTTTTTAATTAATAGATATTTAGTAAAAGAAAGTGTCTATTTTTTAAGTTTAACAAATAAGAATCAAAAAAGGTAAAACAAAATTAGCTAATAATTTTGTTATCACATAAAAAAATTTTTCGGAATTTATTCAACTAAATTTAAATTAAATGATATGAGCATTCCTTTTTTTAGATTTTTTCTTTTAATTTTTAAAGATGTTTGTTTAAAAAAATATTTTTAATGAAAAATAAAAGGAATTTTGAATTAAAAAATGATAAGGGTCCCGGGGAAAATTTCGGGGAGGTAGTGCCACGAGGATGAGTTTTTCCTTGCATTTTTAGTGTTTTAGGCAAAACTTTTTTTAATTTTTTGGCATTGAAGACATTTAAAAATCTAAATATTTTTTCTTGTTTATTCTCTTCGAAAAAATAAAAATCAAGGAAAGAATGTTTCTCAATATTTGAGATAAATTTTGTTAATGCTCAAGAGGCATCACAAACCACCCCCTGTCACATAAGCACATTTATTTGACTGGTTGCGAATGACACACAAAGTAAAACTCAATTATAGAAACATTCCTTTTCTTGGAGTTAAATGTGGCAGTTTTGTGAGCCTTTAAATAAATTGCATTTTTTGCTCGACATATCTAAATTTGGAAATATTTGCTTTAATTTAGACAAATATCCACTTTAATTTACTTGGGGATAGAAAAGATTAAAATAATCTAGTAGATTAAATTTTGATTAAAAATTGTGACATTACCAGACATTAGTGATGCTCGGGAGAAGAAAAAACCCGGGAATCGGGAAACGGGAGTTGGGTCGGGAAATGACCTCGGGAGTCGGGATCGGGAGTCGGGAATTAGCAATAAAAAAAATTTTGGCGCCTTCGGCGCCAAAAATTCCGATCTTTAGAACCGTAGGTGAAAATATTGAAATTTTGGAAGGTAAAGAAGCCAGGCATCTTCCTTACTAGCGCCGCAGGCGAAAATTTTGAGAACTTTTAGGTAAAGAAGTCAGATTTCTTCCATTTTTTGCGCCGCATGCATAAATTTCGAGAACTTTGGAGGTGAAAAATAATACTAAATTTAAATCGTTCTTATGAGAAAAAAAGAGGTTAATCATCATCATCATACCAGATTCTCCGATAAATTGTCGGATAGTCGGAAATCCTCGGATATTCAAATCCGATATCCAGACCGAACATTTTGGACACCCGTGTCCAGAACAGAAGGTTATATTTTTAAAATTTTTGAGAGTGGCACTGAAAATTTGACTCCATTGGAGTGAAATAGAGGAAAAAAGAGTGACACAGTGAAAAATATCTTTACGTTCAATTTTGCTTGAATTTTAGTGCTTTAGCCACATATCTCTTCATATCCCCTCTATAGTATTAACACCCCCTATACAACATTAATCACTCAAATCCTTTGATATCTCTCATTAATATCTCTCTTTATTACTGCAAATCCCCATCTCTTCAGATTCACCATAATCCTAGTAAATCACGTAAATCTTCTATACTACAACTCCACAGCTTCTTCCATTAACAGCGCCGCAGGCGAAAATTTTGATGATTTTGGAAGATCTTTAGCCAAAAATCTTCCCTTTTCAGCGCCGCAGGCGAAAATTTTGGGAATTTTGGAAGATCAAGAGGCCAGATTTCTTCATTTTTTATAAAGAAAAATATAATTTTGCCAGAAAAAGTCATTCTTAGGGGTGTAAAAATTTCCCGACTTAGTCGGGAATTGACACCGGGAGTCGGGATCGGGATCGGGAGGCCAAAAACTCGGGAAATTTTCCCGAGTCGGGAGTCGGGATCGGGATACCCGAGCATCACTACCAGACATTGAGTGGATTCTTTTGGAAATTGTGATATAGTAATTAGAAAATTTCCAGACAAAATTTTAATTAATGAATGAAATGGTGTGCGGAAATATTGGGACAGACATATCGGGATTGTTGTGACAAAAATAATTTCTTGCGTGTTTACGTTTGTTCTAAGACATAAAACTATTCTTCGATGGGACAATATACTATCCAAGACCCAGTGACCGTAGGTTCCGAAATCAATAGAGTAACTGTTCTTACATTGGAATATGTCGTATGTCCGTCCCGATATGTCCGCATGCCGGTTGGAATAAAATTTGGGAACTTTTGGAATTTTTGGAACTATTTTTATCTTTGAACTTTTTAAAAAAATATTTTTTTATTTTTTTTAACATTTGTTCATTCATCTTTGCTTTAAAATTAATTTAAAATTCTATTCTTTATATAGTTTCCCTTTCTTTTTTAATTTAAAAAATTCTTCCTTATTAAGTATGAAAATAGCTTTTATGCCATCTTAAAATTAAGCATGCAAATTTTGGGGTAATTTTATTTAAAGGAAAAAAAATATTTGGAAAAATCCTTATGTAAATAAAAATACAAAAGAAAGGGAATGGGGACAATTTTATTTAAATCAAAACATTTTTTTGGTCCAAAAATCTTTTTACTAAAATCCCATTTTTCTATTTTGCATACATAATTATTTTAACGTGGTTTTTATGATTGTCTTTGAAAAGATTTGTTTGTTTTTTCCTACCATGTGATGAATATTTATGTGTGCTTTTTTAAAAAAGAGACTGGCTTTGTTTAAAGAATGATAATTGAGAGTGATTATTGTTTGAAAGAATTTGGGGTATTTGTACTTTAAATATTTTAAAGATAATTATTTTGTACTTAAATATTTGTAAAAATAAATGATATTTAATTAGAAAAAATGAATTATTGTGGAAAACAAGGTGAATAATGATTAGTTAGTATTTTAAAAAATTGGGAAAAAATAGACAAAATTACGGAAAATTTTAAATGAAGTTTTGTAATGAAAAAAAATATTTTAGGGCACAAAAGAAGCGAATCCCAAACAAGTTCGGGACATTATTGCAATGCAAATTGGACAGCCTTCTACTGGTTCTCGCATTTCTGCAACCTCTACTCCAATTCCTAACCAACAGCTAGTTAATGGAATACAGCCAACAATGCACCATAATATGCCTCCGGGTGCAATGCCGGTATTTATTAAATTTTGGCTGGTTTTGAAATCTCTGGCATAGAAGCTGAGAACTTTAAACTTTAATCTTTTTCCCTTACCAGCAACTTCCTGGAGCTATTCCACCTGCTGGTATGCAACGGCCACGTATGGGCTCTCATCCAACTCAACCTCCTATGCCTGGACAAATGCCAACCACTATGCCTCTGCCTCAAGGTTCTATTCCTCAGGCTGGAGGAACAATTGCAGCACAGAATTTGCAGAACAAATTTCTCCAGGTGTCGAATAATTTTCTTAAAAAATTTTAAATTTCTATTGAGTGGTTGATGTATGTTTTTGGATTAAATTCTTCTAAAATATAATCGAATGTTTTCTACAAAATAATATGTACATTTTATTTTTACCGGGTATTAAGTAGCTATTTATGGGGCTCATTAACGGGGCTAACATTAAAGAAAGACTAAATGTTTATAAGTAATTTTTTATGAGTAATTTTTATGAGTAAACAACGGTTGTTTATTAGTTATTTTATTGCTACAAATTATTATGGACAAAAGATTACTTTAATTTTGGAAATAACGAGAATGAGTATATAATTAATAGAATAAGTTAAGACAGTCTTTTACTCCTTTCCTCGTTGAAAAATTATTTTTAATAAATTGTAAAATAAGTACATTTTTAAATCCTTTTTTGCAGCCAATCTCGGAATGTGAAGTCTCTATTGGTGAACTCATAGACAAAATCCAGACGGACCGTTGGCCTGTCCCTCAAGGGAATCGTCCATTACGCGCAATTGGTGCTGCACTTTCAGTTGCGATTACTTTATTGGAAGTGAGTCATTAAAAACAATTTTTAATTGTTTTGATAATTAACTTTTTTTTAAAAAATAAATTTTTGTTTTTTAATTTTTTAAGGTAAGCTTTCCAAACACTGGCGGCCGTATAATGACGTTTATTGGCGGGCCTTGTACTCATGGTCCGGGAATGGTTGTTAATGAGGAACTGAAAGATCCTATCCGTTCTTGGCACGATATTAAAGAGGATAACATTCCGTTTATGAGAAAAGTAAAATTTTGAAGAATTTTTTCAAATTTAATTTTAGGCCTTTAAATTTAATGATGCATTAGCTGAGAGAGCTGTCAAAAATGGGCATGCTATAGATTTGTTTTCTTGTGCACTAGACCAAACTGGACTTTATGAAATGAAAGCTTTGTATAGCCAAACTAATGGTAATAGTTAATAGGGTTGTTTCCCGACGGGCGGGGGGGGGGGGGGGCACGGGGGAAATTTTCGGTGAGGCAGCGCCACAGGGGGGATGGGAGGACGGACGGGGAACAACTCTACTAGTTAATAAAGGATTTTTTTTATAATTTAAATCTTTAAAGGTATTGTTGTGATGGCAGATTCTTTCGATTCTTCCCTTTTCAACCAATCGTTCCAAAAAGTTTTTGAAAAAGATGGAAATGGTTCTCTAAAAATGGCATTTAATGCTTCTCTAGAGGTTTTATTAAAATTAGATTATTTTCTAAAACTATTTTTTGATCAGATTAAACTTGGAAATGGACTT